GGCCTTTCCTACATTATACTTGCCCTCCAATTTTGGATTCATTATCATTACAAAAAACTGAAGATTTAACCTATTAGTTATGGTTTACAGCATCCCAATAATTGAATTAGACCTAGTAAAAACCCATAAGATAGACCAAGGGGTGGAGGGAAGCCTTAACCATCCTCAGGAAAATTGTCAAAAATTGAATATTCTCTCTACTTTGAGTCCTGAAACCAATGAAAATCATCTCTATTTCAGTAGTATAGCTTTCATTCTATTGACTGATACCAAGAAAGAGCTAATAAAACAAAAAAAAAAAAAACACCCTAGAAAACCCCTCCAAGTCACCATTTTAAACCAAACACACTCAGAATTTTGCTTATCCCATCATGCACTGCATGGGTCCAAAATTTACCACTCATAGTTTATCTGAGGGAGCCGAGCTCAAAACATAGATCTAAGTGGCCCTGGTGTCAATAAACAGATCTATGGACAAGATAGTGAGTGAGTTAACAAGTCTTGAATGCTCCTGTCAGTACTATTATTATTCTGTAGGATAAAGCACTAAACCCACAGAGGTCATATAATAATATAATTAAAGTGCTAAACCCCAGGGGATATATAGTGCCTAAAAAAATAAAGAGGAGCAATTAGGTTTAATTAAAGGAAGCAGAGGAAAGATCGAATTCCATGCATCAAGAGCCCCTCAATAATATCAAAGATAGGTTAAATAATCCCACAATCTGTATTATTCCTCACTTATTGTTCATCGACTTCTTCCTCTCATCTTTGTGACCTTCATATTCCTGAAGTTCACTTTTTTTTTTCCCCCACACACATCCCTAGTTCTCATCCCTTCCTCTCATCTATGGTATTCTCCTATATTCTCTTCTTAGTATTAAATATGTATGGTATGTGGTGTGTTTCTAAATGGTTTAATAACTATGAAACCCTCTTTTTCTTAAATACTGTGGAATGAAGTGACTTAATTTTTATATACATGTAGGCTTCGCTTTACAGCATTTTGCTAATACAGCAGTTTTCATTTATACCCATTCTTCATTTATTCAGACTTCCTACAAGAAATATATTCATCACTCACTATAAGCTAAGGATGAAAATATTTTAAGGTAGGTAGTAGGTTGGTAGACAGCAACTGCCCAGGGAGGTACTATCGTCCTGCCAAGTGAGTGTAAAACGAAAGCCTGTACAGTGGTCCCTCGATAATCGTAGTTCTCGAGAGTCGTAGATTTCGGAAATCATAGAGATATTTTCGTATAAACATGGGCTCGCTAATTGTAGATTGACTCGCGAATAGTAGGTCATCCGGGACGTGTACGCACGGTGTGAGCCGGGGCGGCCTCCCTACCCAGCCAGTCTGGCATTGTTTACCAGTGAGCGAAGGTCCCCTCACGTGCTCCTACGAAATATTTCATAATATTCCACTCATTTTAGTGCTTGCAAGTACTAAATAAGCTACCATGGCTCCAAAGAAAGCTCCTAGTGCCAAGCCTTTGGTAAAGAAGGTGAGGAATACGATTGAATTTAAGAAAAACATCATTGAACAATATGAAAGTGGCATAAGTGCGGCCGAACTGGCCAGGATGCATAACAAACCCTACACAACTATATGTTCCATTGTGACCAAGAAAAAGGAAATCAAGGATGCTGTTGTTGCAAAGGGGTAAATATGCTGACAAAAATGAGATCACCAGTACTAGAAGAGGTTGAGAAGTTATTATCGGTGTGGATAAACGAGAAACAATTAGCAGGAGATAGTGTTATGACGTCGATTATTTGTGAAAAGGCTGGGCAGTTGCACGATGATCTGGTAAAGAAATTGCCTGCAAACAGTGGTGATGCGAGTGAATTTAAGGCCAGCAAAGGTTGGTTTGAGAAATTTAAGAACCGTAGTGGCATACACAGTGTGGTAAGGCATGGTGAGGCTGCCAGTTCGGACCACAAAATCGGCTGAAAAATATGTGCATGAATTCAAGGAGTACATAACAGGCTGAAGGACTGAAACCTGAACAAGTGTTCAATTGTGATGAAACAGGCCTCTTTTGGAAGAAAATGCCAAAGAGGACCTACATTACACAGGAGGAAAAGGCACTGCCAGGACACAAGCCTATGAAAGACAGGCTGACGCTCATGTTCTGTACTATGCTAGTGGGGATTTCAAAGTGAAGCCGTTACTAGTGTACCATTCTGAAAATCCCAGTGTGTTCAGGAAAAACAATGTTATGAAGAGTAAATTGTGTATGTTTTGGAAATCTAATAGTAAGGCATGGGTCACGAGGGAAATTTTCGTTGAGTGGTTCAATGAAGTGTTTGGCCCTAGTGTGAAGAATTACCTCCTGGAAAAGAAATTGGATCTCAAGTGCCTGCTAGTAACAGACAATGCACCTGCTCATCCTCCAAACTTGGATGACCTAATTTTTGAGGAGTTTGGGTTCATCACAGTAAAGTTCTTGCCCTCGAATACCACTCCTCTCCTCCAGCCCATGGACCAGCAGGTCATTGCAAACTTTAAAGAACTCTACACCACAGCAATGTTTCAAAGGTGCCTGAAAGTGACCTCAGACACTCACTTGACCCTAAGAGATTTTTGGAGAGAACACTTCAGCATCCTCCACTGCATAAGCCTTATAGGTATGGCTTGGAGGGAGTGACTACCAGAACTTTGAACTCTGCTTGGAGAAAATTGTGGCCAGACTGTGTCGACAAGAGGGATTTTGAAGGGTTTGGGACTGACCCTCATGAGCCTATGTCTGTTGTTAAATCTATTGTGGCACTGGGGAGTTCCATGGGGTTGGATGTGAGTTTGGAGGATGTGGAAGAGTTGGTGGAAGACCACAACGAAGAGCTCACCACTGAGGAGCTGCAAGAGCTTCAGCAGGAAGAGCAACAGATCGCAGCTCAGCATCTTGCTGCAGAGGAGGAGGAAGAGAGATGGAAGAAGGTGCCTTCTTCAGAAATTAAGGAGATTTTTGCAATGTGGGGTAAGATGGAAAGCTTTATGGAGAAACATCACCCTGTCAAGGCTGCTGCAAGCCATGTTGATAACATGTACAGTGACAAAATCTTGGGCCACTTTAGGGAAGTGTTAAAGAGACACCAGAAACAGAGCTCTCTGGACAGTTATTTTGCGAGACAGGACTCCAGTGACTCTCAAGCTGGTCCTAGTGGCATTAAGAAACAGAGACGAGAAGCAACCCCAGAAGAGCAATTGGTACCAGAGGTGTTGCTGGAAGGGGATTCCCCTTCCAAACTGTAAATAATCCAATCTCTCTCCTCCAGTCTCACATACACTAAGAAGAATCTCCAATAAAGGTAAGTGTTATGCTGTTAATGTTTCATTCATTTCCCATTGCATTGTTTATGTACTACATGTATATTTCATGTAAAAAATTTTTTTTGTGTTAATACTTCTGGGTGTCAGGAACGGATTAATTGTATTTCTTATGGGGAAAATTCATTCGAAAATTGTAGATTTCGATAATAGTAGCTCCTCCAGGAACGGATTAAATACGATAAACGAGGGACCACTGTAATTGTTTTACATGATGGTAGGATTGCTGGCGTCCTTTTCTCTGTCTCATGAACATGCAAGATTTCAGGTACGTCTTGCTACTTCTACTTACACTTAGGTCACACTACACATACATGTACAAACATTTATATATACACCCTCTTGGTTTTCTTCTATTTTCTTTCTAGTTCTTGTTTATTTCCTCTTATCTCCATGGGGAAGTGGAACAGAATTCTTCCTCCGTAAGCCATGCGTGTTGTAAAAGGCGACTAAAATGCCGGGAGCAAGGGGCTAGTAACCCCTTCTCCTGTATATATTACTAAATGTAAAAGGAGAAACTTTTGTTTTTCCTTTTGAGCCACCCCGCCTCGGTGGGAGACGGCCGGTGTGTTGAAAGAAGAAGTAATATGTGTACTGTATGTGCATTTTTTTATGCCTAGCTATAATGCTCACTTAATATATGATAGTGTAAACATGTCATCAGGCTCTTATATGCATCTGAAAGTGAAAAAAAAAAAAGGCAATGATTCACTTTACAGTGATTTTTACTTTACATTGGTAGCCCAGAACCTAACCTGCTGTACAAGCAGGGCCCTCCTGTTTTAATAAAAGATCTTGCCAGGAACAAGGGGCTAGTAACCCCTTCTCCTGTATAAATTATGTACTAAATTTAAGAACAAAAACTTTTGTTTTTCTTTTTAGATCAGCCTGCCTCAGTGCGATACAGCCGGTTCGTTGTAAAAAACTTTTGTTTTTCTTTAAGGTCACTCTGCCTTGGTGGGATATGGCCAGTTCGTTGGAAAAACAAAAAGAAAAATCTAAGGTTTCAAATCTCAAGAACTTTACAACCCACATGGTGTTCTTTGATTTGACTGAGTTAAGATTAAAGAAATTTAACCCTTAAACTGGGTACATATTTAGTCTATGGTATGAGGAACTGTGAATGAAACATAAATCACTAGATTTAGGTTCAAATAAAGCTCCATTTAACTTAATATGTATAGAGGAAACATCTTGACTGTTATCCACCAAGTTTATAGTCAACCAAAAACTGTGAGAATGTAATTTTGCAGGATGAAAGCACTGGCTTTATTTTCTAAGCTACAGTATAGTATTTCAGACAGCAATTATGGTGATATCAGTGGTCCTATATACAACAAATATTGTTAGAAAAATTCACAATTGTGAAAATAGGTACTAAAAAATGCCTTCAAGAAAGCATAAAAATATTTGGCAAAAACTTTTCACAATATCTAAGGCTTTTTTTTCATCAGCACCATGGAAAAACCTTGCATTTTTTCTTGTTATTTTGCCAAGGCAGGGAGGAAGAATCCTTAGTAATTTGGAAATGCTTTAAAAATATATATATATTTAAAAGGGAGTATGTAAATGCCAAGGATCACCTTTTTTATAGACTGTCACACAGTAAAGCGCATGAAAAACAACATACCTACAATTGGTGTAGTGTAAATAAATACACATGAAAAAAATTACAAATGTTTTATATGTACTGTACAGTACAATACTCTACAATATAATGCTATGCACATTTTTAGTGCTTTGCTAAATTGTTTCTACCTGCTTCATTACGTATGAGGATTATAAATGCTTCACTTAATAGAAAAGTAATGTTTATATTTTTCGTACTCATATTTTGTTTTTAGATATTGTTTTATTGTGTCTCCAATCTTATAAGTTTAAGGGAAAGGAAGTATGGCCACGTGAAACTTTGTTGACGTGGTCACTTTCAAAATTAAAACTTAGTTGGTTGAAGTGGTTTCTTTCACAATGCTTCACCTCTTTTTTACTGAGGGTTAAGTAACATTCCAAGGAAAGAATTATACATGTATTTTTATATTTTATAATAAATTTAATTTATTTCTAATATTTTAGCAATAGATTTTTTTACCTGGAACCTATCTCAATTTAATTAAAGGGTGAGAAAACATGACTCATTTTATGCAACTCTGCTTTATATTTTTTCTTGGAAAATAACTCACTTGTTAACTGGAGACTTGATTATACTGTATATTAGATCATACTATTAGGCTAAGACTGGCAAAGTTAAATTAGGTCTGCTGTTAAGAAATTAACAATGACTTTTGATGCCAACTTAGCAGGTGCTAACCTAGTTGATGACAATTATCACTGATAGTTCATTACTTTTCTAACATGACTGACATTTAATTCTGACTGAAACATGTCTGATATTCTACAAATTATACAGTCTGGAAATTTTTTTTAATTGCTGATCCATACAAGAAATTATACTTTACTAAATAAATAGTTTTTATTAATACTAGATTGTGGATCTTTTGGGATAAAAAAAAACTTGTTTATTACAAAAATTTGTACTCAATATCATACCATGTAACTCTGCAAAGAATTGCTGTCCGAATCCTGCCTAAAATTAAGTCTTTACCTTAAACCTCAATGAACATGACTTAAAGCCATATGATCCCTATTTAGGAATGAAGTCTTAGTTAATTATTAATGTATTTACATGAGTACATGATACATTGATCATTTGCTATTTCATCAGTGTCTGGAAAGGCCTTATCCTAAAGTCAAATAAGATTAACTTAAAACATATAAATTACTTACCATAACTTGAGCTACCATTATGTGCACTGCTGGCTTGTGCTTAGTGATTCTAAGAAGTCTGATAACCTGTTTGTATCACTGGTATTATGATATCACCAAAACCATGTGGATTTTGCTTAAAAAATACAATGTAGCTTACAGCATTAGAAAAGAATTCCACCACAGAGCTATTGTTCTCCCAGCAGCAAACATCAAAGTATCATTAGCCTTGAGTTACTAATACAATTATGGATTATAAAATATTCTTAAACACAACGATGACTGACTATACCCCGGCCGGGATTGAACCCGCGGTCAGAGTCTCAAAACTCCAGCCCGTCGTGTTAGCCACTAGATCAGCTAGCCACAATAAGATTCGTCCAACTAGGTATATTTCTACACCATAGGAAGGTTAGCACAGGCACCACTGTGACCACAAATGCAAGTTTTTACAGACGAATCTCCAGCTAGCGTGGCCGTGACGAACTCTAGCTCAAGTCCCTTCACTGCCGTCAACATGGTTTGTTTGCAATCGTGTCATTACGATTTCGTGAGTCATGTTGACAGCAGTGAAGGGACTTGAGCTAGAGTTCGTCACGGCCACGCTAGCTGGAGATTCGTCTGTAAAAACTTGCATTTGTGGTGACAGTGGTGCCTGTGCTAACCTTCCTATGGTGTAGAAATATACCTAGTTAGACGAATCTTATTGTGGCTAGCTGGTCTAGTGGCTAACGCAACGGGCTGGAGTTTTGAGACTCTCTGACCGCGGGTTCAATCCCAGCCGGGGTATGGTTTGTTTGCAATCGTGTCATTACGATTTCGTGAGTAATGATGACTGATAATGCTGCAGTTGTTTTAATGTATCAGCCATGCAACATTCACATGGTCAATTATCACCCAGTTTGCATATTTATAATGCCAAACCAAACATAACTCTTTACATCTGGTTCCCAACTGACAAATTATTTATTTGAAAAACTAATGAACAAAGGTTACATTAAAAAGATATATAAAAATATGTAAGTCACATAGCTCTATCAACAATATATTAATAATTTCAGAAAGACCAACAACTTTGGTATTACAACAGGGTGCAGATAGCATTATTTTTTTTTAATTTCTTTATTCAATGATAGAACAGGTTTCAGTTTCTTAACATTAAGGTATAAATGTGATACCCTATTCCAGAACATGTACACATCCAATCACTTGAATACAGCATAGATGAAGCAAGTAAAAATATACACCTGAGTGATGCCAGAGAAATTATATTTTTAATAAATCCAATTTGGACTTATTACACTTTTGTAAAATTTTGTAATTCTACCAGCAAAATTAATAATACAGTACAGTAAACCCTCCAGTTAACATACTTCCATTTAAATGACTTTGGAAATATGGAACAAAATCTGCTGGGGTCAATAAATTTGGAAACAATGGACAAAGTTGTATGGTTGTAGAATTGTTCACGATTGTTACAATCATGGCAAAACAATCTTTTCTCTGTCCACAACACTCTCCCGATTAGTATGTTAAATAGAGAGTTTACCATACAGGTACAAAATCTCAAATCCACAAGTCCCCCAAATGACATTTTTTAACACACAATTTCATTTGAAATACTACCAGAACTTTTTAGATGCTCTATTGCAAACTTTTTTTCTAGAGTTTTTTACCTCACTGTCAATACTAGTATTGTGAAGAGTTCTGCATATAGCCCACTAACTAGTAATCTAAAAGTGACACTGTTAAAACAACAGGACAAAGAAGCATCAGTGTGAAAGCTAAGTGAGAAACACTTTGCATCAGCTGTGGTTTTTATTACTGGGTTAAATGGCTACCATGATTCAAGGAGGCATAAAAGTCCCAATGTTAGAGTTCTGGATTGCCTACTTGATGTATATGATTTAAAAAAGAATTAAATTATACAAATTTATATTATTATTTATTTTAGACACTGTATACCAGTACAGTGTATTCTTTCTTTGTATTCTACACTCCCATACATTTAAAAAAATGTGTGTGGAACCCATGCATATATTGTCAGCAGGCAATCTACCTCCATCAGATCTTATTTACAATCTGCTTGTACATGATGAGTGATGAAGAGGGGGAAAAAAAAAAGGAGACAGAAAGAAGACTGAGGAAGGACAGAGGATGGAGAAAGACAGGAATAGAGATAGGGGGTACAGGGATATTAACCCCTAAACGGTCCAAACGTATATATACGTTCTCTCGCGTAGCGCCCCAAGCGTATATATACGTTTTCTTTGTCATTCATTCAACATTGCCACGATAAGCCTGAGTCGCCAAGACATGAGAGAATGGGTGTGCGCACTCACTGTCCGCCATATTAAAATAATTGGGGACACCTGGGTACCACATGCTCTTTTTTCCTATTAAAAAAAAAAAACTTTTTTTTTCTCAAAAAACTTTGGGCCCTACGCGAGTGAATGTATATATACACTTGGACTGTTTAAGGGTTAAGAAGACATAAAGAAGAATGGGATATTAATATTTCACTTACTGGCTTGGTGGGAAATAGCTGATATGATAAAAAAGGGGGAAAAAAAAATATATATATATATATATATATATTCAGGATTTGTAAGTGTTGTGGTGTGAAGTTTGTGCAACAAGGCAGACACTGATGTGAGAATAAAATGTCTAGTTAACATGCATCTCAAAAGCTTGAGTCCAGTGTCTTTACCCTCCACATTAGATATAACAATGGCATAAAGTAGGATAGCTGTTGGGTTGGATGGGTGCAAAAGTCAAGGAGTCATATGAATCGTACCAGTCAATTTTTTTTTTTTTTTGCTGTTGAATAGGTTTTATAGTGTAACTGATATTATTCGGTCCCACAAAACTGGGAAATCATGAAAACTGGCTCAGTTTCAGTTCTGAGGATGCTGGATTTGAGGGTTTGTATCCATTATAATAATTAGAATAAAAATATACTAAAAAGAATAATTTCCATCCTAATGTAGTTAAGGTTATTAAGAGTAAAGTCTTTCCATGACTTAACATAATTTTTCACAAAAATATTAGCAAATTTGACATACAAGAACACATTTTGGGACTTGTAAAACTATTCCACCATTACACAATTCATGTATTCAAATGACTCATTCATCTACATATTTTGCTTCAAAAATGAAAATAAAAATACCGCATTGCAATATGCTTAATATCTAAAAATGTCTCATGGATTAATCTGCATCATCTAATTACTCTAAACAAGATTTTTGAACACTGTTATAAGCACACCATAAATTCTGTATACAGCAGAGAAACAAAAACATGGCGTCTGAAATGAAATACATACATTAATTGGCTCAATACCGCTGTCGCTTAATGTCGACATATGGTGTACCTGTCACTACATTTCGTTTCATTCCCTGCTGAAACGGTTGATCTATTGCGCCACCTTGAAAATTAGCATTTCGCATACTTTGTTCCCGTTCGTTCTGCATCCACAATTCCTTCAATCTCTGGTCACGGTCGCTTTGCCGTTCATTCCTCATAGAACAGTGGTCTCCATAGCGATCACGTTGCATGCCCTGATAACAATTTGACATTGAAACATTAAACCAAGAAAATGGCTTCAAAATATTCCTGGATTTTCTAATCAGTGATTATGATGGTACAAATAAGACTGTTAGCAATAAACCAAACACTATGATTTGATTACATCTGGGTGATTAGAGGAAATATTCTAGCAAGTTTCATTATACACAAAATTTACTGAAATTATCATAAAAATGTACTTTATAAACACCCTTTTTGGTTATAAAAAATAAAATTGCAACCAGAACAGAATTCTGAAGCATTAGAAAATTGTGCATTTTTTATTTGTTATTTATGTTGAAAGATATTTGAATCTGAAATAAAATATGTGGAACTTATCACTAAAAATTTTCAGGAAATTAATTTTCTAATATTTAGGTACCTAAAAAAAAAAAAAAAAAAAAAAAAAAAAAAAAAAAAAAAATACTGCAGATGCCACAACAGTGGAAGTCAAAGGTGACCCCAGCCATAAAATACTGATGTCAAAGTCTAGTATCTTCATCGTCGTCTAGCCTTTGTTAAAGAGAGTCTGCCATACCTGAAGGTTACCTGAAGATGAGTTTGGGGGCCACTGTCCCCATGAACGGTCACAGACCAGGCCTCCTAATTAATGACCTGATTAAACATCAAGGCAGGGTGGCCCAAAAGGAAAAACAAAAGTTTCTCCTTTTAAATTTAGTAATACGTACATACAGGAGAAGGGGTTACTAGCCCCTTGCTCTCAGCATTTTAGTTGCCTCTTACGACATGCATGGCTCACGGAGGAATAATTCTGTCCCACTTTCCCATGGAAATGAAGAAATAAGAACAAGAACTAGTAAGGAAATAGAAGAAAACACCAGAGGGGCATGTAGGTAGTAGGTTGGTAGACAGCAACCACCCAGGGAGGTACTACCGTCCTGCCAAGTGAGTGTAAAACGAAAGCCTGTGATTGTTTTACATGATGGTAGGATTGCTGATGTCTTTTGTCTGTCTCATAAATATGCAAGATTACAGGTATGTCTTGCTACTTCTACTTACACTTAGGTCACACTACACATACATGTACACATTTATTTATACACACTCATCTGAGTTTTCTTTGATTTTATCTTAATAGTTCTTGGTCTTATTACTTTTCCTTTTATATCCATGGGGAAGTGGAATAAGAATCTTTCCTCCGTAAGCCATGCGTGTTGTAAAAGTCATCTAAAATGCCGGGAACAATGGGCTAGTAACCCCTTTCCCTGTAAAGATAACTAAAAAGAATAAGAAGAAGAAAATTGTCAAAGTGGGAAGTCTGAATGTGCGTGGATGTTGTGCAGATGATAAGAAAGAGATGATTGTGGATGTTATGAATGAGAAGAAGCTGGATGTCCTGGCTTTAAGTGAAACAAAGCTGAAGGGGGTGGGAAAGTTTCAGTGGAGAGGAATAAATGGAATTAGGTCAGGGGTTTCAAATAGAGTTAGAGCTAAAGAAGGAGTAGCAATAATGTTGAAGGATAAGCTATGGCAGGAAAAGAGGGACTATAAATGTATTAATTCAAGGATTATGTGGAGTAAAATAAAGATTGGATGTGAAAAGTGGGTTATAATAAGCGTGTATGCACCTGGAGGAGAGAGAAGTGTAGAGGAGAGAGAGAGATTTTGGGAAATGTTGAGTGAATGCGTGGGGAGTTTTGAATCGAGTGTGAGAGTAATGGTGGTTGGGGATTTCAATGCTAAAGTGGGTAAAAATGTTATGGAGGGAGTAGTAGGTAAATTTGGGGTGCCAAGGGTAAATGTAAATGGGGAGCCTTTAATTGAGCTATGTGTAGAAAGAGATTTGGTAATAAGTAATACATATTTTATGAAAAAGAGGATAAATAAATATACAAGGTATGATGTAGCACGTAATGAAAGTAGTTTATTAGATTATGTATTGGTGGATAAAAGGTTGATGGGTAGGCTCAGGATGTACATGTTTATAGAGGGGCAACTGATATATCAGATCATTATTTAGTTGTAGCTACAGTTAGAGTAAGAGGTAGATGGGAAAAGAGGAAGGTGGCAACAACAATAAGAGGGGGGGTGAAAGTGTATAAACTAAGGGAGGAGGAAGTTCGGGTGAGATATAAGCGACTATTGGCAGAAAGGTGGGCTAGTGAAAAGATGAGTAGTGGGGGGGTTGAAGAGGGTTGGAACAGTTTTTAAAAATGCAGTATTAGAATGTGGGGCAGAAGTTTGTGGTTATAGGGGGGGGGCAGGAGGAAAGAGGAAGTGATTGGTGGAATGATGAAGTAAAGGGTGTGATAAAAGAGAAAAAGGTAGCTTATGAGAGGTTTTTTACAAAGCAGAAGTGTTATAAGAAGAGCAGAGTATATGGAGAGTAAAAGAAAGGTAAAGAGAGTGGTGAGAGAGTGCAAAAGGAGAGCAGAATGATAGTGGGAGAGGCACTGTCAAGAAATTTAATGAAAATAAGAAAAAAATTTTGGAGTGAGTTAAACAAGTTAAGAAAGCCTAGGGAAAATATGGATTTGTCAGTTAAAAACAGAGTAGGGGAGTTAGTAGATGGGGAGATGGAGGTATTAGGTAGATGGCGAGAATATTTTGAGGAATTTTTAAATGTTAAGGAAGAAACAGAGGCAGTAATTTCATGCACTGGTCAGGGAGGTATACCATCTTTTAGGAGTGAAAAAGAGCAGAATGTAAGTGTGGGGGAGGTACGTGAGGCATTACGTAAAATGAAAGGGGGTAAAGCAGCTGGAACTGATGGGATCATGACAGAAATGTTAAAAGCAGGGGGGATATAGTGTTGGAGTGGTTGGTACTTTTGTTTAATAAATGTATGAAAGAGGGGAAGGTACCTAGGGATTGGCGGAGAGCATGTATAGTCCCTTTATATAAAGGGAAAGGGACAAAAGAGACTGTAAAAATTATAGAGGAATAAGTTTACTGAGTATACCAGGAAAAGTGTACGGTAGGGTTATAATTGAAAGAATTAGAGGTAAGACAGAATGTAGGATTGCGGATGAGCAAGGAGGTTTCAGAGTGGGTAGGGGATGTGTAGATCAAGTGTTTTACATTGAAGCATATATGTGAACAGTATTTAGATAAAGGTAGGGAAGTTTTTTTATTGCATTTATGGATTTAGAAAAGGCATATGATAGAGTGGATAGAGGAGCAATGTGGCAGATGTTGCAAGTATATGGAATAGGTGGTAAGTTATTAAATGCTGTAAAGAGTTTTTATGAGGAAGGGGCCAGGTTAGGTGTGAGGAGAGGGGACTACTTCCCGGAAAAAGTGGTTTTAGACGGGATTTTAAAATGTCACTGGTTTTTTAAATATTTTTTATAGTTTGGGGTTTTAAAAGGAAGTAAAGCTGGGTTTTCAGGAGAGGGTGGGATTAAATTTTGGGGGAATCAAATTAAAAAGGGGAATTGACACAGTTGCTTTTTCTGATGATACGTGCTTATGGGAGTTTCTAAAAAAAAATTGAAAAGGTTATGGATGATTTGGGGATGTGGTAAAGGTAGAAAGATGAAAGTGAACTAGAAAAGGAAAGGGTGTGAGGGTGTCAAATGATTTAGAAAAAATTGGATAAAAATTGGGGAGGAGGAAAATGGAAAAATTGAATGTTTTCGATACTTGGGAGTTGAGTGTCGGCGGATGGTTTTTTGAAGGATAAAGGTTAATATAGAATTGATGAGGGAAAATGGGGTGGGGTGCGTGAGGAAAATGTGGAGTAAAAAAACTTATCTTGGAGGCAAAGAAGGGAATTATGAAAGTTAGTAGTACCAACACTTTATATGGGTGTGAAGCTGGGGGGTAAATGCGCAGCGAGGAGGGGGTTGGGGGCAGTGGAGTTTCCTTTTTTTAAGGGTAATTGGATGAAAAAATATTATGCAGAAAATTCGGAGTGTGGAAATTGGAAAAGGGTGGGTTAAAAAAAGTATTAGTCAAGGGCAGAAGAGGGGTTGTTGGGGTTTTGGGTTCATTTAGAGAGAATGGATCAAAGTAGAATGACAGGGAAAGCATAATAAATCTATGGGGGAAGGAAGGCGGGGTAGGGTCGTCCTCGAAAGGGTTGGGAGAGGGGGGTAAAGGAGGTTTTTGGGCAAGGGCCCTTTGGATTTTCCACAAGCTTTGTGTGAGCGTGCAGATAGGAGTAAATGGGCGAATGGTACTGGGACCTGACGATCTGTTGGGTGTGAGCGGGGGTAAATTTTTATGAAGGGATTCGGGGAAAAAGGGTTATTTTCATATAGTTGATTGAGCCCTGGAAAGGGAAGTACAATGCTTGCACTTTAAAGGGGGGTTTTGGGATTTGGCAGTTGGGGGATATGTTGTGTTCTTTATATGTGTAGCTTCTAAACTGTTGTATTCTGAGCCCCTCGCAAAAACGTGATAATGTGCGAGTGTGGTGAAAGTGTTGAATGATGTGAAGTATTTTCTTTTTTTGGGGATTTTCTTTTTTTTTTGGGTCCCCCTGCCTGGGTGGGAGAGGGCCCGACTTTTTTGAAAAAAAATGCAAGAATTATGTGGATTAAAGTAAAGGGGGGGAGCGAGAAGGGGGGTCAAAATAGCGTGTATGCACCTGGAGAAAAGAGGAATGAAAGGGGAGGAGAGAGTTTTTGGGGGAGATGTAAGGGAAAAGTATAGGAGCCTTTGAACCAAGTGAGGAGTTTGTGGAGGGGACCTGAATGCAAATAGGAGAAACTTTTAGAGAGGGTGTGGTGGGGTAAGTTTGGGGGTTTCCAGGTGTAAATGATAAGGGAGCCCTTTGTTGAACTTTGAAAAAAAAGGGGGGTTTGTTATAGGTAATACATTTTTAAGAAAAAGGGGAAAAATAAGTATAAAAGTATGAGTAGGGCGAAATGACATATTTTTTGGATTATGTATTGGGTGATAAAAGACTGTTGGGGAACTTCAGGATGTAATTTTATGGGGGCCACAGATATATCAGATCCTTTCTAGTTGTGTACACTGAGAGTAAAAGGTAGATAGGAACAAGGAGAATAGAGCTCAGGAAGAG